CGTTTTCTTTTGTTTGCAGTCGCCCTTGTATCAGTTTCTACTGCATTACATTTTTTGTAGTTTTTCTTTCCAGTTTGGCTCCTGATCTTTTTTCAAAATGTTTGTTTCTTTCGCAGGGAAAACTCCTTATATGATCTATACTACCTTAATGATCATCTACGTCTACCATCATTCTCACGTTTCTTTCATCTCTATTTCAGTCTGTCTTGTTTCCTCTCGTTTCTTCTAATTAACTCATCACAATCGTTACCGCTTGCTTGAGATGCCATTTAATTATCTGCCCTTTGACGTCTCCATTCATTTTTTTTTCTCTTGAACTGGGATGTTTCCATTCGTATTTTTAACCTAGAACGGTTTTTGATATTTTGTTTACTTTTATTTGCCAACCCAATGGTATCCTATAAGTGCTTTATTTAATTGTCAAGTATGTATTCGAATACGATAACAGAATTATGAGACAACACGATTGCACTCTACTCTTACGTAATAAAAATAAAATTGTTTCGTTCTTGTCTGACCTTTTCGTCCTTAATTTCTGTTTGTTTATTGAGTAATCTAATTAAACTTTCACAAGAAATAAATTGTTACTTACGTTTGTTTCTGTGTTGATCGTTTTAGAAAACACAGCGACACAGACAAGCTCGCAAGATGCACTCAACGCAAGCTTGTAAAATATTCAGCTACGGTTAGCAACAAAGCAGAAACAAATAGATAATTAATTCTCACAGAACTGGCCGTGTTACCAGTGCTAAACAAATGTGCAAGAGAAAGAATGTATTTTTCCCCTTTTATGTTCTTCTACTAGGACACACTTGCAGAGTTGGGAGATGGTAGAGTCTTAGAAACATCCTCTGTGGTGATTTACTGATGGGTAAAAGATGTTGAGGTCACCCTGACGTGCGATTTGTCAAGGCCTTATGGGAGCACGTGTACAGTTGGGGTCTATATACAGCCCTTGTGCATCAATTATCAGCAAAATACCATTTGTTGTTCCTACTTCATTGCAGTTCTGTGTACAAGAGAAATGATTTCTGGCGATATTTGTGTCACTGATTCATGCCATTATACCCATCTGTTCTTTAATAGTATACGAGGACATAAGAGTGAATGGGCATTTACTGCTCACACTTCAGGCAGAACAGTTCAATAAGCCAGCGGTGCCTTTTTCCTTGCTACCAGTAGCATGACGATGGAGATGATGGCGGTGACACATTCTTTTATGTGGTTAGAATCACAGGACTATTCCCAAGTGTGTGTGCTGAGTGATTCTTTGAGCATGATCCGACGGGTCCCAGGCAGTCTGGTTACGCAGTCAGTGGTTTGAGTCACTGCAAAACTATTCTGTGTGTGAAGTTACCTTCATATTCGTCCCAGAGCATGCGGGCGTTGTTGGTAATGAAAGAGCTGATAGACTGGCAGGTGCTGCATTAACTAAAGATGACCGGCCTATGGATCACGCAGACATTGTCATTGCCCTTAGAGAGATAGGACGTTCTGAAGATTTTGAAAGCAATGTGTCCACATCACTGCTAAGAATACGCGAATTTGAGTAAAGATCGGCACAGCCAAGCATGAGAAGCACACCGGACGCACACGAAGTCTTGTTAACCAACATAGGACTGGCACTATTACCGCGCGAAGCTGATGAATATGTTGAGTGGGGAATCTGAGCGCCTATAGATGTGTCCGGAGTGCTGTGAAGATAATCTAACTCATACCTCATGTATCAACCCTATTTACAGTTTTACAGATCACCCTCTCTTGAATACAGACTGTTGGTTCCTTGTCTCTCCGGCAGATGCACTCCGACTTCAAAGGAAGCTCCCCACAATGGGGCCCCGGAACCCACACGGGGGATCCATTGTTCAAAACCTCAACACTCAAACCTCAAACCTCCAAAATTGTCCCAAACGTGTACCTGTACTACCTTGAAATCGGTAATTTATAATATTGCTGGGGGGAAAAAAAAAGAATGCCAATACTGTGTGGCTGTGAGTACCACAAGAAGAAAGAACTAACTCCTGATGCTATAGGACAAAGATGGTTCTTTTCAGCCAGCGGCACATCGGACATGGTCTAGTTTTAGACCCATTTTACATTGGCTTCTGTTCATTCCCTTTAGTGACTCTTTTCTGACTTATAGTCTCCTAGCAAGTGGAGACTATCGCATTATACGAGGTGAAGACAATAAGTAAGTCACAAATTGTTATGGGATGGCAGGAAAATGTAGTTGGTAGTTTCTAAATGTGTCGTAAGGTGACAGCAGCAACGAACTTTAAGTTTCTGTTCGTTAGGTGACGCTAGGTGTTGCATGCGCATTTTCTACATAGAAACAAAATGGCGACTGTACGTACGGAGTCTTAGTTAGTTAGTTAGTTAGCTGGGATATGATCATTGCACTCCGGACATGTCCATAGATGCTCAGATCCTTCCCTCAATATAAACCCAAGCGTCATATGACTTATAGTGCCAGCACTTTGTTGACTGATAAGTCTTTTTGTATGCCCTATGTGTCTCGCTTTTAAAAGGCAAGAGGGGCTTTCATAGCACTAGAGAATTTGTGGAGGTCAAAAGAAATTAAAAGAAATACTAAACTAAAAATTTGTAATTCTAATGTCAAATCAGTACTATTGTATGGGGCGGAAACATGGAGAACAACCAAGGCAATTACTAATAAATTACAGACATTCATTAACTGGTGCCTGCGCAGAATAGAGGGGATAAAATGGTATGATAGAATAACTAATGTAGAACTTTGGGAGAGAACTAAACAGGCTCCAGTGGATCAGGAGGTGAGGAAAAGACGCTGGCGTTGGATAGGGCACACACTGAGAAAACAGGAGAACAGCATAACTAGAATGTCTTTGCATTGGAACCCACAGGGGTATAGGAATAAAGGAAGGCCAAAAAACACATGGAGAAGAGAGCTGGAGAATGAGGTTATAAAGATTGGGAGGACATGGGGAGAGCTCCATGCAATGGCGAAGGATAGAACGACTTGGCGTGAGTTGGTTGAGGGCCTATGCTCCATTGGGGGATAGAAAGGCAGAAGAAGAAGAACGTGTCTCGCTTTTGGCTATGCCGATCTTAACTCCCGAGTCTTTTATTTTGGTGAGCGATGAAGAATCGCTGTCTCGAAAGTCCTCCACCATTCCCACTTCTCCGAGGGAATTGATAACATCAGCATGATCCATGGGTTGACCTTCAGCAGTGATAGCAGATTCAGCCAACTCATCAGTCCTTTCGTTTCCATCAACGCCCTTGTGTCCCGGAACAAAGATAAAGACGACGTTACGCACAGTGGACTTCTGAAATGGCTAAATTCATTTCTTTCGCATAGAACCTGCTTGGGACTTTTGGATCATGCCCGTGGAATTGCTAAGTACACACGCGCGGGTATAGTCTTGTGTTCTTAGCCATACGAACTGCCGTTACCGCCACTACCTCCATTGTCATGCTACTTGTTGTTTCGGAGAAGGCACCGCTAGCTTCTTTGATTGTTTTGCCCGCTAAGCGTGCTGTCAACGCCTATGCACTTCTTTGTTGCCGTATGACAGATCCGTCTGTGTAGATCAGTACATCTGCTTCAACTGAGTTATCGCTGATAAGAGCGTTGACCTCTGCATTGACCACAACAGCATTCTGTTCCCTGCATCTTCTCTCGAGCGTGACAACACAAGAAAGGTTGCAGTTAAACACAGAAGGCACGGGTATCCACTTACTAGGAGTGATACTGGTTGGGCTACATACTTGCTCGATGTCATCTTCAGCCTGACTAAGCCATGACTTACCCTTCCTCAGCCTGACTAAGCCATGACTTACCCTTCTTCAGCCTGACTAAGCCATGACTTACCCTTCTTCAGCCTGACTAAGCCATGACTTACCCTTCCTCAGCCTGTCGTCAGTTCAGTATAGAGGGCTTGATGCTATAGGTTTTTTTTTCAGCGCTTATTTTGAGTGCTCTTGATCTTGATGCTTTGATTCATGGATGAAAAATCAAGCAGACTGGGCAACACCCTGGTATCTGTGAGACAATAAAACTACGACAATGGGCTAGATTCATTCGACGTTCATTCTCTCGGTACCACCAGACCGGACTCTCTCAGGACCGAAAACAAGACTAGGCTCTCTCATTAACGCACGGTTTAAATAGCATCTTACTTTCCTTGTAAACTTCATAACTCTTTTCACGCATTCATGCTTTCTTCGCTTGACATGCTTCGGCCAAACTGCACAAACGTCACACTTGCCTGGATTTGACACTCGATCCGTTCCTTTGTGACTATCAGTCGTACTCATTTCTAAGTATAATCTATCCTTGAGGAGAAAATGACCCACTACACCGGGAAAGTCCAATATTCTCCGGGAGTTATGGGTTGGGGTTAGTGTTATATTAAGTTTTATAGCTAGGGTTAGGGTTAGCTGGTGTCTCTGAGGTGGTCAGGGCTGACAAAGATCATAACCCATAACACCCCTAGAATATTGGACTTTCCCGGGAATCCCGGAATTTCCTTCGTTTGAGGTGAATTTTAAATAAAGTAATGGAAATACTTTTAAAGACAATGTTCATACATTGTTACAGGAAGCTACTTAGCCTATTACTATAATGTTTTACCAGCCTTATTAATTTTTTTCTATGGGGGGAGTCTCAAGTGGCCTCAGTCTTCGGGTTCTCCCACGCCTTCCCAAGTGTGTTTTATTAGATAGTATACGGAAATTAGCCTTGATCTTTTGTATATATCTAGCTTTAATATTAAATTTTCTCATTTCAGAATCCATGGCATATATCGCCCGGAATCTCCTGGCTTTATCTGCAGCTTTAAGCCGAAACTACAAATCTGCTTGTAAATAGTTCCATCGTCGTAATGGGAAATCCCAGCGTAGTGATACTGTTTCTGTTTATAACATCGTGGTTATTTCTGACTTCAGCGTGCCCGCACATGAAGAACAGTTTTAATATGTCACAGTCGAATACAGACACCAGAGTCATCCTCAACATTATGGGATTTTTCGCCATGACAGGAATTTACCCAGCGGGGATGTCATACCTGCCTGCCAGCCTGCTGGCTATCAAACATATCAACAACAAGATGGACATTCTACCTGGCTACAAGCTCAAGCTGAATGCGCATGACACTATGGTGAGTTCTGGATTCGCTCTGACCGTTGTCCTCTCTTTCTTTGCGCACCCCGACTGTAAATTTCGGCGGAAAGATATGGTTATTCGTGCATTACTTGACCTCAGTTTTGTTCCAGAGCCTGAGTTTTGCAGACAAATACATATTTCTTTTTTTTTTTTTTTGGGGGGGGGGGGGGGGGTACAAATAAAGTTTATTTGTATGCCGACTGCTGGTTCCTCGTCTCTCAATCAGGTGTTCTGCGATTTTGAAAAATTATTCCCTGTCAGCTATTGCGTGCCATATTTTAAATGTTGGACACATTGTAAACAAGGAAGATTCATTTCGAATTAATGCAGACAAAAGGACAGGTCTTCACCTTGCATATACACTGGTGAAACAGACAGTTTTGAATGTAGTCGCTTTTGTGTTTCAGTTCGAAGGATTCAATATTGCGTCATTTTAATCAATTGTTACCGTAGTACGCACCCGACTAGATACAACGAAATACGTCAGGCAATAAATTGTGCAGTCTATTATTTGTGTCCTCTTTGTTCAAATTCGCAACGGGGAAACATTACTTTGAAGTAGTGACTGTTAACTTTCTTAATATAATATACTGTCGACTCAAGAAAGTCGGACCGAGCTCACCCCTCCAATAACTGTTAGTCACAGTTTCTACAGGATGAAGTAGACGTCACACACACACCATCCCTCCTTGGTTGTCCTTATGACATGCGTGACAGTTTGCAGTGTCACTAATGATTGCTTTCCTTACAATCTCAGAACTCATACAGATGGCTGAATTTATTTTCCACGTAATCTGAGGCTCTCAAAGACTCGTTTATCAATTTATAGTCCAGCCTGGATCAAGGAATGTTTGCAGACCTGCAGTAGGTCATGACCTTCTGACCTGCAACATGTCACGACCTAGTCCCACGCAGAAATCTTCAGGCTGTCTCCGGCAAGGGTGCGGGAACTAGAGGACATGGGGCACAGTTAGGGCGCCAAAATATTATAGGTTGATCTAAAAAAAAAAAGGAGAGGGGGAGCGCCCACCTCAGGGTCCCACCAAATCTGTAAGTGGTCAAGATAATCAGCTCCCCCTCCCCTATTTGCAACAACAATCTGTGAGGAGGCTATGCTGGTGCACCCCCTTCCCCTCTTCCTTACCCCCTACCCACCTCCGATATGTGCCAGAATGTATAGAAGTTCTCTGTTTAGTTTCTTTTCAGTCATATAACAGTATTTCAACTAACCTATTATAATTATAATTACTGAACATTCAGGATATTACTTTCACCATTATCCCCTCCATTATCATTATTAGTGTTATTATTACTATTATTATTATTATTATTACTATTATTGCGCACTAAAATAAGGTCCCTTGCAGCTGCTGCCACCATTAGACAATTTGTTAGCGGGTGAGGTTCTCTCCCCCCCCCCCTCCCCACCTCAATTCTTCTGCTTTCTTTATATCAGTGCCCTGTCCCTTAATCATACAATCTACAATCTTGCAATCGCTTCCGTCAAGGCACACGTGACCAGTTTCTGCTCACAATCCGACCAACCAGAGCCATTGTTTCCAGTCAGTTAGTCCGGCTTCCGGTTTCGTTGATTCCCAAATAGGACAATCAGCATGCGTGTTTGCTGACACAAACGAAATCTGGATTTCCCCCTGTTTAACCATGTAATAATTGACCAGATATTGAGACTCCGAGGATCTGGATTTTCAAATCTCGCAGATCCGTTAAACGGAAATGACGTTTGCAATTGGAATCTATGGACGTGACGCATGAAGCATAAATGTTGTCCAAGTTTATACACAACGATTTTGATTGCGTTCGGTGTTAATTTCTGCTGCGAAGTGAGATATGACGTTGTCCAAGTTGGGCTGTTTGGGATATAGACTATATAAGTTAAATTCACTTTTGTGAGTCGGGGTTTCAAGAAGATTTAGAGAGCAAGCAAATGATGATCATGCGTGGAAATTTGTAACGTGTTTGTCTCCTTCTTCTCCTCCTCTTTTCTTCTTCTTCTTTTTCTTTTCCTCGTTTTTGTTTATGTTGTCATTGTTGTTGTTCGTCGTCGTCTTCTTCTTCTTCTTCTTCTTTTGCTGCTGCTGCTTCTTCTTCTTCTTCTTCTTCTTCTTCTTCTTCTTCTTCTTCTTCTTCTTCTTCTTCTTCTTCTTCTTCTTCTTCTTCTTCTTCTTCTTCTTCTTCTTCTTCTTCTTCTTCTTCTTCTTCTTATTCTTATTCTTCTTCTTCTTCTTCTTTTTCTTTTGCTGCTGATGTTTCTTTTTATTTTTATTTTTCTTCTTCTTCTTCTTCTTCTTCTTCTTCTTCTTCTTCTTCTTCTTCTTCTTCTTCTTCTTCTTCTTCTTCTTCTTCTTCTTCTTCTTCTTCTTCTTCTTCTTCTTCTTCTTCTTTTGCTGCTGCTGCTGCTTCTTTTTTTTCTTCTTCTTCTTCTTCTTCTTCTTCTTCTTCTTCTTCTTCTTCTTCTTCTTCTTCTTCTTCTTCTTCTTCTTCTTCTTCTTCTTCTTCTCCTCCTCCTCCTCCTCCTCCTCCTCCTCCTCCTCCTCCTCCTCCTCCTCTTCTTCTCCCCTCCTCCTCCTAATCTTCTTTCTCTTCTTCTTCTTTTTCTTTCTTCTTCTTCTTCTTCTCCCTCCTCCTTCACCTTCTCTACCTCCCTCGCCCCTCTGCCGCCGTGGTCCCCGCCACCACCACCACCAGCCTGTGACCCCACAACCACAACACATGACGTCATGTCTGTCTGCTCTAGTGTGACGAGTCTCAAGGCCTGGAAGCCTTCTACAAAGAAGTCTACAACCCAAACAGAACCTCCATCATGACACTGGGCGCCACCTGTTCTCACGTGACCGAAGCAACAGCCCAGGTGTCCACTCTGTGGAATATCACCCAGGTAATGTCTGACTGTCTGTCTCTCCACGTGTCTGTCTGCTTGTCCACATGTCTGTGAACTTTTGTTTAGTATGTAGTGAACCAGCGAACCCGCTGGCAAGTACTGCACCACGGCACGCGGGAAGTTTTGTGGGCAGGGCTGAAACCGTCAACGCCATACGGACTAGTTAGTTGTGTATCCCTTTCAGGACGTTGTAGAACTAACCACAGCAGTTTGCCATTGCTTTCTGGACGGTCTGCTTTCTTGATACCACTGTCGAAACCAACGCAAGGCGGATGACCCGCAGCGGAGATCGAATCCGGCATCCCGGCATTACGAAGCGTTTGCAACGACTTAGCCACAGAGCCGACAAATGGACTAGACCGAAGGTTAATTACGAGTCTCTAAGGCTAGCTCAATTAGATGACTTGGAAGTGGTGCCTGGTAAAGCTCGTCAGCGCCGTCTGCGAGGTCGAGATAGTAGACATTATAACGACCTTCTCATGCCCAAAATCAGCTGTACCTTGGCATAAGAATGCCCAGCGTGGGGTAACGTCGATTGTGATAACATAACATGGCATGACATACTTCTGATTGGTAAAATTTTGTTAGTCTTCTTCTTCTTCTTCTTCTTCTTCTTCTTCTTCTTCTTCTTCTTCTTCTTCTTCTTCTTCTTCTTCTTCTTCTTCTGCTTCTTCTTCTGCTTCTTCTTCTTCTTTGATCTTTCTGTCAGAAAACTGATATCAGGAGGCCGGTAGCCTTTATGAAAGCTATCATCCAGTCCATATCTTCTCGTGTACCACACAACTTTGTTAATCGTGGTTGGAACATGCCAGATTGCGTCTCTGTTTTCAGTATACAGTTGACAGTGTTGGAGCACATGCTCAGCACTTTCGGGTGCCACTCTCTAGGGACACGTATCCGTGTTTGCTACACCAGAAAATTTGAACATGTGTTGACGAAGTGTTAGCCTTCTCATATGTTTATTTGTTTATTTGATTCTCTTAAAGGGAGTCGCCGTGGCCGAGCGGCTAGACGCTTGCCGCGGATCCGAAGGTCGTGGGTTCGCTCCCTGGCGGAGCCGGACTTTTTCAAAAATGACCTTGGCTCTCAGGTCGACCCAGCCTTAAGTGGGTACCGGGTGCAGTCCCGAGAAAGTAAAGGCGGCCAGTGTGATGCTGACCACATCGCCCATCTTGTGCCGATTGGTCAAAAGGCGTGGAAAAACTATAACTATTCTCTTAAATGTATTCTCATTGTACTATTTTTTTTCCCTAATATTATCCACAAAATCTATGATTTGTACGTTATTGCAGGTTTGTGGACAGGAGGCATGATTGCTTTCAATGTTCGCTGCATTGTGTCATGCCACTGTATCCCACTGTTCATCGATAGTATGTCTCATTCTCACTGAAGGTTATAATTTAACGTCATTAGGTAGATGTAGCGAAATTTATTTCACTGAGATAATAAAACTGCTTCGGCAAGATTAGAGTCCGTTTCCAAAGTTCTGCCCTCACACTTTTACAAATATCTAAAAAAAAAAAAAAAAAATACTCCTGTACCGATCAACACAAATTTTTGCATGTGGTCTTAGATTTCCTGTGTTATTATGGTTTTAAAATTTACCGTTACATAGGTGCTGTTGTTTTTTAGCAGCGGCTAATTTCTTTGTTCTTTGTTGGACTAACAATGTGCGTATCACTTTTTTTTAAAATGCAATAATTGACACAAATAGTTTATTGTTTATAAGCCAGTCAGCGAAGCAGTGGGACAATACAAGACGTGTCCATTTCACTATTCAAAATACGTGCACCTTAGTTTTCCGAACGAAATATCCCTAAAACGTGTGAAATGGGTTGTCTTGACAATTCAAATACTGTAAACGTACTTAATGTGGGCTTTGCGTCAAATCTCACAAACAGGGCAGAATAATACAAATATAACACAAAAATTATATATATATATATATGTGGGTGGATGGGTGGGTGTGGGTGTGTGTGTGTGTGTGTGTGAGAGAGTGTGTGTGTGTGAGAAAGTGTGTGTGTGTGTGTGTGAGAGTGTGTGTGTGTGAGTGTGTGAGTGTGTGTGTGGTCGTTTGTTTACATTTTATTATTTTTCTTTACGGACATGATTATTTACAGGCTGCATGCCAGATTTTACTCACTTGCTGAGTGAAACAAAATGTACACTTCGGCACGACCTTTGGAAAGGACTATCCCTCACAAGACCTCGCAAAACAAACTCCAGCGTCTGTTGGCTGGTTTACTGCTCCCCCCCCCCCCCCCAGGGAATTTTATGCTCACGGTTTAGTGAATACAAGTCTGAACGGTGCGGCGTTTAAGACGCATTTTAATTTAATAGAAATCGGTCTGGTCAAGATATAAAAAATCTGAGCCTCAAATCACTCTGGAAGCAGCTCACGGTGTAACTCCTATAAAACTGTCTAGTTTGTTGGGTCTATTTTTAGTTAGAATATATCTTGTGCATGAGAAGCAATCATGATTTTTTTTTTTTTTTTCATAGAACATGATTTAAATGAAGGGAAAAAACGGAGTGCTGAATATTTAAAACGTATATTATTGAGATCTTATCGTCGTCATTGCGGTAACCCCCCACCCCCTCCCCTTCCCGAATTAGAAATGCCATAATTTGCAGCAGTTTTCTGTTTGGTATTTCCTCATTCAACCGGTATTAATTTGTGTGTGTGTGTGCGTGTGTGCGTGCGTGCGTGCGTGTGTGTGCGTGTGCGTGTGCGCGCGTGACGGTTACGTCAGTAACTATGTTTTATTTTTATTTTTTTTTTTATTTTCATTTTTAAAAAATAGATTTTAGGTAGGTGAAATTTACAATTTGTAGCAAATGGTCTAGAGGCCTCCGAAATGCAACATCAAAGTAAATAGGAGAATTCTTAAGCTAGCTGTTGTGTTCAACTGCTTGGGTACCCAGAAAACATTTTTTTTCTTTCTTGTTCTTCTTTTTGTCGTCTCACAGATACCAGTTTGTAGCCTCGTGTTGTGGTTTTTCTGCATTTGTTTTGCGCTTCTCGCGTGGCTTGGGTGATGGATTTGTTCATTCTTTTGCAGGTTTCAGCTACACAATTTATCTATCTCTCTTTTGGTCTTCATCTCGCCTTCCTCCCAGATGTTCTAATGTAAAAACTGATCTAAAAACTCTCATTTGCAGTTTGGTCTGGCTGCATTCTCACTAGATGGCTGAACCATTTCATTCTTTGTCTGTCAATTTAATCAAGACATAGACTTTGTCAAAACTTCTCTCCAATGCTGGTATTCGTAACAGTCTTTGTCAAAACTTCTCTCCAATGCTGGTATTCGTAACAGTCTTTGTCAAAACTTCTCTCTAATGCTGGTATTCGTAACAGTCTTTGTCAAAACTTCTCTCCAATGCTGGTATTCGTGTCTTTGTCAAAACTTCTCTCCAATGCTGGTATTCGTAACAGTCTTTGTCAAAACTTCTCTCCAATGCTGGTATTCGTAACAGTCTTTGTCAAAACTTCTCTCCAATGCTGGTATTTGTAACAGTCTTTGTCAAAACTTCTCTCCAATGCTGGTATTTGTAACAGTCTTTGTCAAAACTTCTCTCTAATGCTGGTATTCGTAACAGTCTTTGTCAAAACTTCTCTCCAATGCTGGTATTAGTAACAGTATTTGTAAAAAATTCTCTCCAATGCTGGTATTCGTAACAGTCTTTGTCAAAACTTCTCTCCAATGCTGGTATTCGTAACAGTCTTTGTCAAAACTTCTCTCCAATGCTGGTATTCATAACAGTCTTTGTCAAAACTTCTCTCTCCAATGCTGGTATTCGTAACAGTCTTTGTCAAAACTTCTCTCATAATGCTGGTATTCGTAACAGTCTTTGTCAAAAAACTTCTCTCCAATGCTGGTATTCGTAACAGTCTTTGTCAAAACTTCTCTCCAATGCTGGTATTCGTAACAGTCTTTGTCAAAACTTCTCTCCAATGCTGGTATTCGTAACAGTCTTTGTCAAAACTTCTCTCCAATGCTGGTATTCGTAACAGTCTTTGTCAAAACTTCTCTCCAATGCTGGTATTCGTAACAGTCTTTGTCAAAACTTCTCTCCAATGCTGGTATTCGTAACAGTCTTTGTCAAAACTTCTCTCCAATGCTGGTATTCGTAACCCTGTCTCCTCTTGTGCTGTTAGCAACTTTGAGGAGACAGCACATTTCACATGTAGTTATTTTTGGTTCTAGTGCCTTATTTATTGTCCATGTTTGGCACTGATAAAACAAAGTATGGATACAGATGCTATTAATCATTTGCTGATTTGCTGGAAGGGAGATATTTGGGTGTCTAAACAGTAAGGCTAAGTGGTAGTTGACAGCATTTGCCTTCTGTACTCTGGCTTCTATCTCTTTATCGAGTCTGCCATCCTCCGTAAATATGCTTTCTGGATATTTGAATTCTCTTACTCGTTTGATTGTTAACATGAACGTTCATAATATTATGTTTCTTGCTCATCCTTATTACCTCAGTTTTAGCGGGGTTTTTTCTTGTCATTCTTTGTGCAGGCTTGATGTAAGTAGTCAATATGCTGTTGTAAATTCTGTTCTTGGTGGAGTATTAGACATCGATCGATTGCAGAAAGAAATCAAGTGATTTTTGCAGTGTCTGTATTTGCCTCCTGTGACATTCTATCCATGTAAGTATTGTATAGCAATGGTGAGAGGAAACATCCCTGTCTGACACCTGATGAGATGGGAAACCAGTCTGTCGTTTCTTCTGTTGTTCTTACTGTGCATTGATTATCTTGGTAAAGAGCCATGATGTTACCCAACAGTTGATCTTGAATGCCATAATCTTCTAGAAATGTCCATAGTTTGCATCTGTTGACTCGATCGAATGCCTTCTCTTGATCTATAAATATAAGATGTTGACTTCTTTCATATTCAATAGACTGCTAGCATATGTGCCTTAAAGAAAATATTGCATCTGTACAGCTCTTTCCCTTCATGAAACCGAACTGTCTCAATATTTCCAAT